GCTCAGCGCCACGCAGTGCCCCGGCTCCCCGCACCATGGGTGGCAAGAAGGTCTGCGTCGTGGGCTCTGGCAACTGGTGAGCACCTGCTGCATGGCCACCCGGGTCCCCTCTTCGACCACAGCGCGGTCCCCGTCCTCCCCAGCGCACCCCGGTACCCGGTGCAAGCCGTCCCAGTTTCACCAGAACTCCTAGTGAGCTGTGATGCACTGGGCTCCCCGGTGCCAGCAGCCTCGGTGCCCGCTGCCTACGGCTCTGCTCTGCCCACGCAGGGGCTCGGCCATCGCCAAGATCGCTGGCAGCAATGCGGCGCGGCTGAGCACCTTCGAGAACCAGGTGAACATGTGGGTGCTGGAGGAGGAGGTGGGTGGCCGGCGGCTCACCGAGATCATCAACACGGAGCATGAAAATGTCAAGTACCTGCCAGGGCACAAGCTGCCCCCCAATGTGGTGAGTGTGGCCTGTCGGTGGCCTCTCTGCTGAGCGCAGGGTCTGGTGCTGACAGCCGGGCTCTGGTGAGAGCTAAATAGCTCTGCTGGGAGCTGCTGGAGCCCTGGTGTCCTGGACACTGGGTGTGCGAAGGTAGGGGATGCACCAGGCTGCACAGACTCAGTTACACCCTTGACCTTGAGCTGTGCTTGGACGAGCTGCAGCCCTGGCTGCTCTCGCTGCCCACCTTTGCCCCCTCTCTGGCATCCCACAGGCTGGGCTTGAGGCTACGTGGCTGCCTCCGAGCTGGCATTGGCAGCATGCAGAGAGCCCGCAGGGCCTGCTGCCCATCGCTGGCAGCAATGCGGCGCGGCTGAGCACCTTCGAGAACCAGGTGAACATGTGGGTGCTGGAGGAGGAGGTGGGTGGCCGGCGGCTCACCGAGATCATCAACACGGAGCATGAAAATGTCAAGTACCTGCCAGGGCACAAGCTGCCCCCCAATGTGGTGAGTGTGGCCTGTCGGTGGCCTCTCTGCTGAGCGCAGGGTCTGGTGCTGACAGCCGGGCTCTGGTGAGAGGTAAATAGTTCTGCTGGGAGCTGCTGGAGCCCTGGTGTCCTGGACACTGGGTGTGCGAAGGTAGGGGATGCACCAGGCTGCACAGACTCAGTTACACCCTTGACCTTGAGCTGTGCTTGGACGAGCTGCAGCCCTGGCTGCTCTCGCTGCCCACCTTTGCCCCCTCTCTGGCATCCCACAGGCTGGGCTTGAGGCTACGTGGCTGCCTC